CCATTTTAAACATTAATGACAAATGAATATACCTGTCTCTTATACACATCTTAACAGGCGCGGGGGGTGTGGGCAGGGTGAAAACTTCCCCTCCCCTGACGGATTTTACCGGGCTGACCAACCCGTCGTAATAAGAGAAAAGAAAGAGGGGAGAGGGAGGGAAACAGAAAGAGGAGGAAAAGGAAAGAAAAAGAGAAAAATAAAGAATAAAAAGGAAGATATCATAATGACCAGACTCACAACACCCTGCAACCCCTTCTCCACTTCATAACTCCTTTCATCTATGCTGCCCGATGGCGTAACCACTGGGGGATAAGGGGAAAATATCTATCTTTGAAAAATCTTCCCCACCCCTTTATAAATGCCCTTTTCATCCCCTGAAAATGCCTAAAAACTCAAATTTTAGGGAGTTTTCATCAATTCCAACGAAATTAGAATTAAAAACACCGGGGGACAAGGGAAAATATCCATCTTTGGAAAATCTTTCCCCACCCCTTGACAAATGCACCCTCTGAAAGTGCCTAAAATTCTCAAATTCTTTGCGCGAATTTCTTGTTACGGTAGGCCAATTTCCTCTATAAATTGCACATTTTAGGGAGTTTTCATCAATTCCGACGAAATTAGAATTAAAAACACAAAAATATTTTGTGTTTTTAGGGCTTTTTTAGGTTTTTTCTTTTAAATTATTTAAACACATAATAGTCCCAAACTCAAGAAAGACAAATTTAAGATATATTGTTTTAACCTAAAAGAAGGGCCTCGTGTATTGATGGTGAAAGAATATGTTTTTAATAAATAAAACCATGATAAAAATGCTTATAGTTAGTTTCAAACACACGTGTGTGGCCTATATTATAAATAAGATAAGCCCTATGTCGTATTGTTTTCTATATGGGGAGTGGCGTGGGGTGGGTATGGTAAATTACTAACCGGGAAAATAAATACCCACTCTGACCCAAGACGCCTGTTGCGCGCCTGGTGTTAGCGCAATTGTGTGCCCTTTCTGCGGACAGGGGATGTGCCCCCCTCTGAAGCTGGAAACCTTGTTTTTCCAAAATAAATTGATGCAATTTGCTATTATAGGCCTAATCAATAAATTCCTCATCAACCGATATAACCTTAAACATTCTTGGAATTGACATAACATTACTGATGTCGTACACACCCTTCAGTGTGAAATGTGGCTCTCTTTGCAAGCACATCTAACATCTAAGGAAAGAAGAGCTTAGATTGGTACCGGATAAAATAATTTTGTTATCAACATTAATACATTATGCTAATTTTCATCTTTGTAAGCGCATAATATAGTGCAAATTATTTCTGTGACAGTCTTTTGAAGTGTGTAAAGCTCCATTTTATCCCATACATAGTCAAAATATTGGGGGGGGGGATGATACAATGGACCATCCCCCCAACCCTTGTCAAATATTGGGGGGATATAGCCCCCATCTTCCCGGGATCTACGCCTATGCATGCCGACTTGCCGATCGGTTAGCGTGAGCCCTGACTGAACTCTGCAGAAACTTCACATCGAACTTCGCATGCGAGGTAAAACAAATGTCGGAAAAATTTTTCTTTGACGCATGCGCATTTGCATAAATGTCTACACACACGCACACACACACACACACTACACACAATAAAATACAAAGGAAAAATGAAGAGTGATTACAATTGTTCCTATTGCATTACATGCATAGGAACTAAAAATAAGCGGCGTTTATTTAATACATATCCATTTTACATACACACATATTTTTTTTTTCAATTTCAATTCTTTATTGAGACATAAACGACTCCCTCGAATAAATATCCCTCAAAACCACATTCTCAACGGGGCGTTTATTCAAATAAATACGGTAAATGCTGGGGCTCCCAACGTAAATGCAATCACTAAAGAGCATTGATTCCTTTGTGCAATCCAAGCACAACTTGAGTCATTTTTTTAATCAGCAGAGGCCTCTCAAATGGAATGAGAGGTAAGAAATCCATTTTAAGTAAGGAACAATACATGTTTTCTGCAGTCTAGCATGGGTGTAGGGACGTTTCCAGAGGATCAGTAACTAACCGTAACTTTATGAATGGTGCAACGTTTATCCAAATAATTACAGCAGAAGTCTCTGAGTTCTTACATTTGATGATGAATTTCTGAATTACAATACTGTATCATTGACCCCTTATCTGATAATCATAAGTGGAATTAGTGTATGTTGGCCCCAGGTTCAAATGAATTGACACCCAAACCAATAAAGATTAAATAAAAAATGACATCAAAAAGCCTTTTTGAGTTGGTGTCCGGAAATGTAATTAATTCACTGTTGATCTCAAAACCAACACATCACAGACTTAAATTAATTGATGCAACTGCAAAGTTGTCAAATGCAACTTTCCAAACTTTTTCAACAGGATAATTGAGCATATTGAAGGATAGTTTTAAAATTTCAGCCAACATATTCAATCTAAAATGTGTCAGCCATTTTCGTGTATTGTTTACTACCTCAGCGTAAAACACATACCAGCAGCTAATGTCTAAATGACAAAATAATCAATCGATCAATAGGGGATTTATATGGCACATGTATCTGTCATCCATAGGGCCGATATCCATATGGCTTAAGACGCTTTCAATACGATTAAAGAATGATCTTCTTTTATTAATTTATTGTGAAATGTAACTTAAGTAGTATATTGGTAATGAAATATATTTTCAGAATTAATTTAGCATTTTTGTGATTGAAATTGCATAAATTACTGATAAGATTCGAATAAGTTAAACTAAACTAATTATATTGTATTTCATATAGCAATAATAACTTTATAAACATATCTATCACCCCAGGATAATTAAAAATCCTTCATTAGTTATTTGTTTAGTTTATACGAAACAACTGCGCAGTAATTTCCTGCCCTACCTGTGTATCCATCATCACAATGGCAATAGAAGATACCATCGATAGAAAAGGAGCATGAACCGTATTTGCAAGGGTCTGGACGGCAGGCATCGACTATCAAATCGTAAGCAGTAGGACCTTCACAGTGTGGACCATTAAAACCGTCTCGGCAAATACAGACAACATCCATTTTCTTGTATTCTTTGTCAGACATACACTTGCCGTCATTTTGACAGGGGCATTCCATAACATTTACCTGTGTCATGTCATAATAAAGCAATCACAGTCAAAGCTAATAAATATTACCGGTACTGTAATCTTTAGGTCTATAGGCAGTGGCAGTAGTCAGTTAATTGGCGCTTTATAAATTCATATAGGGCCCTATTATTATTATTATTATTATTATTATTATTATTATTATTATTATTATTATTATTATTATTATAGGGCCCTATTATTATTATTATTATTATTATTATTATTATTATTATTATTATTATTATCATCATTATTACACCAGTCATAAACCAACAATGATAGGATTAAGACAATGTCATCCAATCAGAATTGGTGTAAGACTGGTGTAACAATAGCCACCGCATTTTAAACATTAATGACAAATGAATATACTTTTTGTTACATGTGATAAAATACCCTTCAAATACGATAACTCACTTTAATAACTGAGCTCACTATGGCGCCGCATTTGTCAGTCGCGGTTACCGGTATCAGCACTTGCTTAACTTCCTTTGGCACCCATAGTAACTTGCCATCGGTTGCCAACAAACTTACACCATCTTCTTTCCCAAGGATGTCGTAAACAATGACGTCACCGTCTAGATCAGAAGCCTCCAACTGGTACTCAAGTGTATTACCAGCGAACACAAATAATGGAGGAGGGACTGGAAAGATTGGTATCAAATTATCTGTGAAAAAAATAGTTAATTTTTATCTATTGGCAGGTCTTGATTTCCCAATTTTTTTTTTCTTTTGCGTGAAGCAATTACTACAATCTTATTTTTTTATATAACCTATACTGTACTCTAATGTGTTTACTACATCTAATTTTTTGTATCGAACATTTTTTTAAGAGTTATATTACGTCATTTTTGCCAGAAGAACTTAAAAGTGGTATTACAAGATTCAGTAATATTTATGTTTTTAATTCCATTGAAAGTAAATCACGTAGCATTTTAAATGTCTTCAATTATTGATCAATTAATTAAAATAAAGTCAAATAGTTGTATGATCAGCATCAAATGATACACTAACCAAAAAAAAGTCATTCTTTGTTAATCACAAACTTGTAGGCCTACTACAACATTTCTAAAAATGATCTGCCGGCCTATATCTACTTAAAATATACGGTACCGTAATTTAAGGCGTTTTATTATTGTATTCTTGAAATGTCAATGAAATTATTATCAATTTTGATATTTTGGATTATGCGGACTCATGCCATATTTGTTTCCTATCATAATTGTTGCTAATTGAATAGTAAGGTCGATGAGTTGAAGGTTCGTAGACAGTCCAACTCATTGCCAAACATATGCTTTATATATTATAGAATTTTATTTGTTGATTAATTTACTCCATCAAATGTACCCATTACTTTGAACATTGCTTATTTATGATATGACAGTAATCATTATTGACATTTTATAGCTATTGTTGATGAGTGGGCAGTGCCAGCGGATTGCCTTAAGCCTATACCAATTTTATTATTACTTAGTCTATAAATAAAACGAACTAAAAAGAGATGCTTCGGGATTGCGTGTAACTACAGATAGGCTAATGCTTGTATTTCCTCGTCCATTTCCGAGGTTTTCCTCCTGTCTTTCATAATTTTCAATCAAAGTTGTAATGTTCACAGAATGGACACTTTTTTAGGCCGAATGCCAGTATAATGTCATTTCTAATTAGGTGAAAATTTTAAGTCAATAAATTTCATTCCATGTCATGGCTTATTGGCACATGTTACGTCATAGGAAAGAATGTTGTAAAATCAATAAAACAAGAATAAAAACATTCACTTATTTTACAATAAATTTGAAGAAAATTCTATTAATCTCGAAAGATACATTCCGACGAAGTCGTATTTGATTGATACTTGTTTTATTTACGTATAGGCCTATCATGTAAAGTGTTTGACACTAATTGACCATGCATAAAACATTTGGAGTAGAATCACAAGAAAGGTTTAAGTCAAATTTATCAAATTAGATCAGAGTTGGCTGAGATTCGTACAGGGTTTCCAAGGGCCTTGTTTTGGCTCTTAGGTTTCTTCTTATATATATAGCCTACGTAAATACTCATTATGCAAATTATGTTTATATTATGCAGGTGAAAATTCTACTTTGTTCCCATGTAAATTCAATTTCATTTTTTATAAACAAGTACATAATCATACAAATAAAAAATAAAACAGACCAGACTAATATTTTCAATGTATACACTTTAAAAACAGCGCTGAGGTTTTAAACACTAAATCTGATATCATAATATATAACTACATAAGCACATTTAATGCTAAACAGTTCAAGATTCTAAACACGAAAGCCTATGTCTAACCTTTAGCTTTAAGTTTTAAAATGTGCCACCAAAGGATGACAGGATTACGTAGAGCTATTGTTGTTAATGAATGTAAAGTTTGGTTCTGAAAAAAGAGGCTTTTCATTACACTAAATGCAAAACACATTAAGCTTATACATTTATTTGGCAGATTTGGAAAACTGAGAAACAAACTGAAGATACACTTATTGTGCAGGAAACAGTTATTCAAATAATAAAGAGTCTGTGAAATATCTTAGTATAGAAATCTAAGAATATGTCTCAATACAATTAAATGGAAAGAAATTTATCGCCAAGGCTAACACAAGACCAAAATGTTCACAGTAGTCCTATATCTTCAAGTTTTTATCGTTATGAGTATATCGCTCGAAGGAAAAAGGTAAAAAAAAAATGCAAACACCTGAAAACATAATGTTTAGATTCATCAAGATGGTTGGCCAGTTGTTCCATGCAGTCTAATTAATTGTTAATGCCTAAATTAGCTACTTTCGTTTTTGCTACAATTGTATGTTCAAAACACATTTTTTAGCAAAGAAATGCTACACAAAATTAAACGACGGAAGCTTCACTTATATCTTGCTCTTGTACTATGATTGAGACATAAAAGAAAAACAATAATGCGTTCAATTC